ATCCTGTAAGCCATTCTTTCATTTGTTCAAATCTTTTAATTTTTTTTACTGATGTGGCTAAACTTCTGTTCATTTCGTTTTAGAGGNAGTGCATACGATGATCGGATTGCTCTATTATCTGTGTCCAAGTCTGCCAGAAACAATATTGTTGATGAGGTGAGTTCCTGCAGTTGAGTTGATCAAGCATGCCTGAAATAGTTGATTGTCCATATTTTATGTAGCCAATTTTCTTTTTTTCTAGATGCGGTCCATCTAATTTGTTAAAGTACTTATTTCAGATTTTGAAGATCTTCCCATGTCATAATTTCAGAAAATTGTCTACCCACCAGAAAATGAAGGAGAGACAAATGCTGTAAAGGAAACTTCAAGAGCTGATGTTCGTGGTACAATTTGGAGCATGTGCTTTATTCCAAGTGAAGATAAGAGAGGACATAACCCTATACTGGCAGTTTTAATGAACAGGTACAGTTTTCTGGTGTCATTTTAAGTATACTTTTAGTTCATATCATTGTCTAAAATATCCCTGGTATATCGGCTAGTATATCCTTTTGTAAGGCTTGCCGCAAAATAATACGCCGTTAATATCCTTTACTGTTTTTTGGCAATTTTGATGACATATTCTCGATATGTCCGATATATTAGCCGATATGTCATTTTATATGAGTCATCACCGAGCAATATAGTTCTGCGAAAATTTCTTTTAAAGTTTTTTAAACAAAAATTTCAGGGCTTTTCTTAGCATATTCTAGTAAGTACCTCCTATAAATTTAGTAAGTTTCTACAATTGGTTAGTGATCCTAAACATATATTCTATGTATCATAGGTACCTCTATCGGATGCGGTGTACATGCCCGACACGTACCTTTACCAAAACTTCTTGGACACTTCTTAAATATATGCATACATTTTTCAGACGTATACTCAGTTATATAAACATGTTCTAATTGAAAACACTCATATACTTCTTGCATGTGTATCCTACTCCTGCACTTTACATCTATTTGTTACATATTGATCTCATGTAAATGAAAAAACAATATTTATCTTACATAAATTATCACGTACCTTTACCAAAACTTCTTGGACACTTCTTAAATATATGCATACATTTTTCAGACGTATACTCAGTTATATAAACATGTTCTAATTGAAAACACTCATATACTTCTTGCATGTGTATCCTACTCCTGCACTTTACATCTATTTGTTACATATTGATCTCATGTAAATGAAAAAACAATATTTATCTTACATAAATTATCATATATAAACATGTTCTAATTGAAAACACTCATATACTTCTTGCATGTGTATCCTACTCCTGCACTTTACATCTATTTGTTACATATTGATCTCATGTAAATGAAAAAACAATATTTATCTTACATAAATTATCAAAAATAGAAGAAATAAAAACAATATTTTATGAATATTTTATAGAATAGTTTAATTATTTTGAGTGAAATTAGGAATCTTTAGAAGGGAGTTTCATGAATTTTTTTCAGTACTTTTATATTCTTATGTGGATGTTTTTATCATATAAAAGTATACTAGAGTTAGCATTAATCTTTAATTTATATTTTTTTATGAAGTCTATCAATGATTAGGAATAAACTTCATATTCTCTTTTGCATCGTTTTAACATACTTTAAATCAATCATTTTGCCATATTGGTTTTAAATATTCACCTTCCTTGTATAACACTATTTTAATATTTTTTACTTTGCAATGCTATACTTTCTCAAATAAAGCTTAGTTTCATATCGGTCAAAAATAATATGAAAATTTAAATTATTTTTAAATTATATTTGTTTTTTGTCAATTCAAATATCAACATGAAAATTTAAATTGGGTGTATCCCATTTAAAAAAACATAAAAAAATAATCGGGATGTAAGAGTTTAAAGAAAAAAATAAGCACAAACTGTCAAAAATACTTAATCATGGTATTAAATCACGTGCATTGCACGTGTGTAAAAACTAGTAATAATAAAAAGGCTCAGAGAAAGAGTTGCAAGAGATTTCCACGGAAGAAAATAAGCAAATAGATGATAAAGACCACTCAAAGCCAGCAGTGTGCGTTGGTGCTAATCATTTTACCTTGTCGAACCATTTCACCCAAGAAAGTAACAACTCATCATCAAAACACTAAGCTTCTTACAAACAAACATATGGAAATAACATGATAAACATTACTCTAGTCTAAACATGGTAAATATTTTTCTAGTCCAAAGAACTCCATTAAAATGGGTGCGCTAACAATTTTTCATGATTTCTTTTTGGGGGGCAAAACCTCAAGAGTTGTTCTTAGGTGCTTCTAATAGGAGACAAGAGTACGTTCAATATCATGAAGATCCAACTAGATTTTACACAGACAGCATACAATTAAACATTGAAGTACAAAACTGACCAACATGTAATAATGTAGAAGAACTTCCTCAATGAATGCATACCTCAGAAAATGCTAAAGCAACAGGCTTATATATAATAGATATCCAATAACAAGAAAATGAGCAACTAGGATGATACAGGGGACTCAAACCCCCACTTAAAACCATTTCATCAAAGAAGGTAACAACTTATCACCATTTCCTAAAACAAACAACTTGACATGAGAAGACTGAGCTTCTTGCAAACAAACTCGCACAAATCAACAATAAACAATAAACATCATTTTGATTTCTTCCCTAGCTTCTTTTTAACAACTTCATCAATATACATTATACCCTTGCCCTTGTAGACCTCAGGCGGCTTGCAGCTACGAACAGAAGCAGCAAACTGGTGCACCCTATGTTTGTCTAATCCAGTGCAGCAAACTATGTTGGGTTTGAAGCAAAACACTCGGACAGCAGGAGGGACAGCAAACTCCACCTCGTGGCTGTAACCTAGTTTCAGGAAAAGCTGACGGCCTTCTGCTTCGGTTCTAGCTTTGAATCCAACTCCCACAATTTTGAGAAACCGAAAAAATTTAGATTCCATATGTTTTCTAATTCAGCTTTCCTGCTAACAAAATAAAAGCTAATTAGAATTTATGCAAATAGGGTGCACAACATTCAGATTCAAGATGAATAACACTCACCAAAAACTATGGAATATGGTCGAGAAAGTCACAGAAAGAAATAACAAAAAATGGAAAAGATGAAAATTGATGTTTCTGTAAAGATGGTAAGGGTGATACACATGACACAAATTCCTTCTACAAAATACAATTAACTTACATGAGTAAGTCATTGACATTCATTATGGATACAACATTCCTTATTAATCTGTTGGGCAGTTAAGAAATGAAGAATGAGAGTAGCAAAACGAGAATGTTACAATGAACTCTTAGAGATATACTATGAGATAGGATAAGAAATAAGTGCAATCATAAGAGGTTAGATCTTCCTCATATTGAGGATAGTATGAGAAAATCAATTAAGATGGTTTGGTCATGTGCAACGGAGGCCACAAAATGTGCCAATCAGGATAGGAAGTAAAGAGTATAATTGATGGAGCAAAGATTAAAGATGATCTAAGAGAACTTATAAAGTTAAGAAGGATCTAATAGTGATTAACTTAAGGGAGAAGATAACCCTAAAACAAAACTGAACAAGAGAATATGATTCATGTAGCTGACCCCAAAAAAAATTGGGATAAAAACTTTGTTGTCATTGTTGTTGTAGGCATACAACATTCAGCTTCAAGATGAAAATAAAATTCATCAAGAATTAGGAAACTTAGTTGAGAAAGTCGATGAAAAAAATAAAATGAAATCACTGGTTTTTAGTGAAAACTTCTACTTTTATATCTATTGTATTTTAATGAGCATGAGAAGGGACATGACACAACTTCCAAATACCAACGATGAGTACATTCGATAATAAGATAATTACAACTATTTAAATGAACAAGTCATTGATAGTTTGGTACTTGCTAGAAGATCAAATTTTATGAGGTTTATTAATAACTTGAAATCTTGAACAAGTTAATCTATGAGTATCATTCATCTCTAGTAGAGTAAATACATGTTCATAAGGTTAAGGACATATTTGGCAACTTTGGATTATAATTCACTTGGCTTATAATCCACAAATGGATTCTAAACCAAGTGGATTATAAGCCAAAGTATATGGTAAATTTAGTGGATTATATTCCATATATAATAGTAAAGTGTTTGGCAAATGGGTGGCCTACAAGCCTTCATTGTTGTCAAAATAATCAAAAATATTTAATGGAGTTGGAGAAAGATAAATGGGTTTGATAATTTTTGGAATGATGATAGCTATATTAGTCTTTCACTCGGTCAAACCTTATGGCTAATAAGCCACCAAAATATAAGCTAGATACTCTTAGCTTTACTTTTGTTGGATTATAAACCAAAATAAGTCATTTACGATACATGTTGACCACTTGTCAAACATGCTCTGAGTAATACCAAATAAACAAAGAAAAGAGCCATGACAACTAAAGATTCGTATTTTTAGTTGTCCTCTCTTACCAATAGGGTATTTTTGAAAGCTCTGGCATCAATAAACCCCTTTCTCTCGCCGGAGGCAAGAATTCTGACATGAATTGTAATATTTTTTTAAAACTTCTTTTACCCCCGACCTCTCAAAGTTATTATATCTACACTCTCCTTCTCCTTCAACCTCACCGGATTTAAATTTCTTTCATCCCTTTACCCAATAAGACCTCTTTCACACTATCATTCAATCATCAATAGAGCCTCATCCTTCTATTTCAATCTCCTCCAATTCAAACCCAAACTCTAATCCAAACAAGGGGTTGATCATCTTGAGATTTTTGAGCTGCCTTAACACTCATAGAGCTTAAAGATGGGCTTGGATGTAGGTTGTTGGGGTTGAATTAGGATTTGGGTTTGAATTGGAGAAGGTTGAAGGAGAATGAGAAGGTAGATACAATATATTTGAAAGGTCAGAAGAAATTTTCCCAATAAAAAATTACAGTTCCCACCAGAATTCTCACTGCAGGGGAGAAAAAAGATCTTATTAATGCTAGAGCTTTTAAAAATACCCTATTGCTAATAGGAGTTAAGTAAACCAATCTAGTATTTTTAAGTAAACCAATCTAGTATTTTAGCCGAGCCAGGAATGGAGTTTTGATCCATCACGATATGGGCTAATATGAGGAGACTGGACCACACAAATCTTGGAAGGGGAACCAAACAAGTATGCACACAGTTCTTTTAAAAAGAAACTTGCAATTCACCAGCACAAAAACACTCTAACCAAATAAAAAAACACATCCTATACATCATTTATAACAATAAAGATCTAACACTCCATCACGAATGTGCAGAAACATTATTGAAGTTAAAGATCCAAAGAGATCAATTCTCAAAAATGTTGGGATATCAAGAGCATGAGCAGGACACGGATATTTATAACTATTAACAGATCAAGACAAACATGAACTTTGAGTCTTTTTTTAACAGAAAATAACTATCAAATATGCATAATTCCTAAATTTTTATGTATTAACAGCTGACTGTGCATAATGGACAACTTTGGTAAGTTTAAATAAAATGCTTAAAACTCATTGGTGGACATGAAGCCCTCAACACAATAATCTCTCGTTCTCATTCTACTATCAAATCAAAATAAATAAATATATATGAAACTTTGCCATATATTTATAAACATCCATGAGTTGATTCAAATAGGATAAACAATATCAAACAATTATCTCAAGGAATTTTTAACCAGCACTATAATGATTTCTGCTTAAATATCACGAATCATCCAAGTAAAATCATAACCAATATATTAAAAATCAAACAATTATCTCAATAATCATAAAGCAATATATTAAGAAAATCTGAAATTTGATTGACACCCACATTCAAACATATTATAATTCAAGGTTGTTGATAGCGGATCGCGGCGCGTCGCGGCGAGGTACCGCTAAGGCTATATCGGGCTATTGCGGCGAAATCGCGGCAAATAGCGCACAATCAAATAGCGGTCAAATTTAAATATATTTAAATATCCTAAATAATAAGAAAATTCATAAAAAATCTAAAAATTCAATTAGTTGTAAATTTCTTGTATTATCAGTAAATAACAATTAGTAGGCTTGTTGTATGAATAAAACTATGAAGAAATTCAAGAAATATAGCATCATAATATGTGTGATAGGCTGATAGCGGGTTTAGCCGTTTTTAACCGCAAAAATCTGTTTTAAACCGCGAAAATCCTCTTTTAACTGTGAAAACCCGCTTTTAACCCGCTAAAATCCGCTTTTACGCGCTATTCGAATGAATAGCGGATTTTCCCGCTTAAGCCAGCCGTGAAACCCCTACGCGTAGCGCTGAAGGGCCGCGACCGCTATTCGCGCCGCTATAGCCCCGCTATTGGCCGCTATTTACAATACTGCATACATATATATGTTAACACACATAACATACATATACATAGTTGTGTCCCCGTACAACCTGCAGCAACATACCATACAGTGGTTACATTTTTGTATGCTTAGATTTCATTAAGTTCGTTTAGAGTACATTTTAGGACATTATTATACATGCACATCATCTAATATAGCACTCCGATATTTACTGCATATCCTCGATATTTCTCTGATATCTGCAATCTGATATGGATTTTGGTTGTCTAATATTTCTCTGTTATCCGACATTTAAAACCTTGGTTCATATGATGTTCTTGTTATACATGCTATACTATGTCCTCCTTATATGTTCTACAATCCTACTATTCAGTTAAATGCTTCCCAATTTTCACTACAGAGATATTTTTCTTTATACAATATGTTGTAATGTCACCACAGGAAACCCATTGGTGAGAATCAAATAGTATTATTTGAATGGAATCTAAGCACACGAAGTATCCATGTTATCTTTCGGTATTCAGAAGCTGGTCCTTTAGCACACCATATTTCAGCAGTTCCTCATCTTTCAGGCTTCGCTTTGCTTTTCAGAATTGGTGATGTTCTTCTTATTGATATGAGAAACCCCCATTCTGTTAGTTCCATTTACAAAATGAATCTTGATTTAGATGCTGCAGCTGAAGAACAAAGTTCTTTTGAAGATCCCTGCAGAGGTTTGTTTGTTGATGATGAAGGTATGTCCAATGTGGCTTGTGCTTTGTTGGAATTGAGGGATTCTGGGGATGACGATCCCATGAACATTGATAGTGAAAGTGGAAGATCAGTTTCTACGTCAAAGTACATTGTTTCTTGGAGTTGGGAACCTGTTGGATCAACTAGTTCAAGGTTGATTTTTTGTTTGGACACAGGAGAACTGCATATACTTGAAATTTGTTCTGAAGTTGGGGGAGTCAGAGTTTTGTCTAACTGTGTCTACAAGGGTTCACCTTGTAAGACGCTTCTTTGGATTGAAAGTGGATTTATTGCTTGTCTTGTTGACATGGGAGATGGCATGATTTTTAAGTTGGAAGATGGAAGGTTGCTATACAGAAGTCCAATTCAGAATATAGCACCAATTTTGGATTTAGCTGTCGAGAATTTCCCTGATGAGAAGCAGAACCAAATGTATGCCTGCTGTGGTATGAATCCTGAGGGATCAATAAGAATAATTCGAAATGGTATCAGTGTAGAGAAGCTTTTAAAGACTGCCTCTACTTATCAAGGGATAACTGGTACATGGACATTGAAGATGAAGAAAAGTGATGCTTATCATTCTTTTCTTGTTTTGTCTTTCGTTGAAGAAACCAGGATACTTTCTGTTGGTCTGAGCTTTAATGATGTCACTGATGCTGCTGGTTTTCTGCCTGATGTCTCCACTGTGGCATGTGGCTTGGTGGCTGATGGATTGCTTCTGCAGATTCACAAGGGTGGGGTGAGACTTTGTTTACCCACAACATGCGGTCATCCTGAAGGAATTCCACTCTCTGCACCAGTTTGTACTTCTTGGTATCCTGGTAACATGTCCATCAGTTTGGGTGCTGTTGGACATACTTTTTTCATTGTGACTACTTCTAATCCTTGCTTCTTATTTGTTCTTGGTGTTAAACATATATCAGCATATCAGTATGAAATATATGAGATTCAACATGTGAAACTGCAGCATGAAGTATCTTGCATATCTATACCAAGAGAAAGTATCAAACATGACCAATTAGCATTAAATTTAAATCTAGCACAAAAGGATCATCAAGTTGCTCTGCAGAATGCAGTTGACAATGGTATTACTTTTCTGATTGGTACACATAAACCATCAGTAGAGGTCCTTTCGATTGTATTTGGAGTAGGGTTAAGCGTCCTTGCAGTTGGAACTATTTCAATAAATAATGCGCTAGGTACTCCTGTCAGTGGCAGCATCCCTGAAAACGTGAGGCTTGTATCAGTGGACCGGCCCTATATTCTTGCTGGCTTGAGAAATGGAATGCTACTTCGTTATGAATGGCCTGCAGCCTCCTCGATTCCTCTAGCAGAACAGAACAGACAATTTGACTTTTTTAACAAAATAGATGCTTCATCGTCACAAATGATGGCTTCTTTCTCCTTTGTTAATGTCAAGAAGAATGCTGAGAATTCTAAAACAGTTATTCTGCAATTGATAGCCATCCGTCGGATTGGGATAACTCCTGTAGTTTTGGTAGCCCTCCATGATTCCCTTGATGCAGATATAATCATTCTCAGTGACAGGCCTTGGTTATTGCATTCTGCAAGACACAGTCTTGCTTATACTTCTATCTCATTTCAACCTGCCACTCATGTGACCCCCGTGTTTTCTGCTGATTGCCCCAAAGGAATTTTATTTGTTGCCGATAATAGTTTACATTTGGTAAGAGGCCTTGTTGATAAATCCATTTATGTTTCACTTTCTCATGGCAGTACTCTTTTCTTATCTGTCATGTTTGTCTTGTTGAAACTGAAACTGTTTCTGTTTTATCCATTTAAATTATCGATGGGAAAACTGACTGAGTTACATTTGATAGTTATTTATGGAATCATAATTAGCTGTACTTTATCTAGTTTTTTTTTGCTTGTACTTGTGTCTGCTTTATGTTTTATTTTTAAGGCATATCTTCCAGTAGTTTGGACTTAAGAGAATCTAGGAGACAACAGTATCTCGTATATTTTCCAGAAGGCAAAGTATATTTAAAACTTGCCTTCTAATAAATTATCTGATTTTGTATCAAAATCATGGCCTCAAGTAATCTTTTGACACAAGTATCATAGGGTATAACAGGATATATGTTAGGTAAATGCTTATTTTGTTTAACCTCTTAGCAGTTATTGGAGGCGGTAGTGAACTCAAGTTGCCCTCCTCTTGGGACATCTAGTAGTGGAGGGAGATTTAATGCAGAACTAATCATCCCCTCATCTTGCATTTAAACTTTTCTTCTAATAAAATATCTGATTTAGTATCAAAATCACGGCCTTGAGTAATCTTGTGAGGACATCTTGAGAAAACCAGCTGATTTATGTGCTTTACACAAGTTTCATAGGATATAACGGGATATATTGGGTAAATGTTTTTCTTGTTTGATCTCAGTAGCTATGGGAGATGGTTCTGACCTCAACTCACCCTCTTATGGGACACTGAGTTGTGGAAGTATATTTAACGCCGAGCTAATCCTCCTCATCTTAGTCTCTCTTGATAACCGTCTTAGGAACAAAGAAGGATTATGTAAAATTTTATGGGGTATATCCCCATTGTATTGCATATGCCATAATTCGTACTTCAGATACTTTACCACATCAGAACATGCGACATACCATATGTTAGGTGGTCTCATGTTTTACGCTTCTATGGGCTACCAGTGCATGGTTTAATTCCTTAAAAAAATTATAGGACCACAAACAAAGTCGATGCAGCCTAGCCTCGTCCATACTTGGATTGCTGCTGTATCAAGCTATGTCTCAAATTTTAAACTTATAGCAACCTTATAGGCTTCTAGATATCATGAATGGCCATTTTGCAGGATGTTTTTTTATATATATAAAGGCTATTGTCACTTATTACATTTTTTGGTTCTTAGGGGAAAATGTATTTTTAAATGCAAAGAGAGCCTTAGCCGACATTATTATAAAAATGAATATTGAAACCTGAAATTTCTGTCTATGTATACTATTAAATTGCTTTCTATAATTAGATTTGTGAGTTAAATTTGGGGAAACTCGGCAACATAATTAGGCGTATTAGAGATCTGGTTCTATATTACTATATATATATATATATATATATATATATATATATATATATATATATATATATATATATATATATATATATATATATATATATATATATATATATATATATATATATATATAATATATTATATATATATATATATACTATATATATATATATATTAGCCAGCTCAAATATGCGCCAGCTGCAATTTTCAACTGTATGTTCTCTAGTTCATTTGCTAAGTCATTTGATTTTGAATGACATATAGCTGCCCAAGGTTGCTGAGGGTATTCACAGCTGTAGCGGGTAGCAGTAACAGTAAAGAGCCATATTAATGTGTATTGGTAGTGTAATATTTTGATCAAAATATGATATTGAGACCATTGCATGTCAGATTCTTCAAATACTTCCAAGCTTACCAGGTTGCATATTAAAACAGATTGTCCCAAAATTTTAGCTTATACTAGAGCATTGTGGAGTATAGGAAGGTCAATCTCTGGTCTCAGTTGCTGTTGAGTTTACAGCACGAAGCCATTTAACCTAAGCCGCTTAGAGATACTGCTGCCAGAGAATGTCAATGATGCCGTTCAACTTAATTACCTACAATCCTATGAAGATGGTATTTACTGATATAATGACCATTTTGTACGTCATATTGGCTATAAGAATTGATTACGTGGCTAATTTTGACCGGTAGGACTAATGCCATTTGTAAACTGTCCTTAACATTTCTCTACATCAAAGTTGCATACTATCTCAAGATTGCCTGTGATAACTTTGTTTGTAACAGTGTATTTGTCTTGTTAGTACACTGTTGTCTGTTACAAATGTTTTAGTATCCTAAATTGAGATATTGGCTATTGTTTTCGACTGGATGGGCTTCTACCTTATGGATTTTTGTTGCAAGCTGTTATTCTTTCATCACAGCCGCTGTTTCATCAAAGTAACTTTTAATGCTTTCTTTTTAACTCCTTTGCAGGTGGAGATGGTTCATGCTAAGAGACTTAATGTACAGAAGTTTTCGGTTGGAGGCACTCCGCGGAAGGTTTTATACCATCATGAAAGTAAAACATTGCTGGTGATGAGGATAGGACTACCTGGGGTTTGCTCATCAGATATATGTCGTGTAGATCCCTTGAGTGGCTCGGTGCTCTCAAAGTTCGTGTGCGAACCTGGGGAAACAGCAAAATGCATGCAAATTGTCAAGGTTGGAAATGAGGAGGTTTTAATTGTAGGAACTAGTCAAGTATCTGGACGGATAGTCATGGCTAGTGGTGAAGCTGAGAGGTTAGCATGCCTGTAAATTATTTATATTCTACTTGTTTTTCCATAAGGGCTAAAATATATTATACTTTTACATGTTTGATTAACCTTAAATATCAGGTCTGTTGCCACTTGTAAGTCTAAAATTCTATGCAAATTTATGCATTTATTTCCATTTTCTGACAATCTTGAATAATGGTTGTCAATAGTAATTTGTATATTTCATTTTGTATTTTTCTACTGCATTATTTTAAAAGCCATTTTTCTCTAACTATTGAAAGCCCTAAGATAGTCTTGCGACAAATAGAGTTAGCTGATTTCTATCTATTATCTGAAAGGGATTAGTTTAATCCCTCATATTTTATTTATCATAGGTTGCGAATGAACCTGATAAGGTTGCAATATTTTTGCCATTTTTGATGTTAGAATCAACTAATAAGACTGCTTTATGCAACAGCACCAAAGGACGTCTTATTGTGTTAAGTCTGGAAAGCTCACAGAGATCCTCAGATAGCAGTTCACTGATGTTCAGCTCTAGTTTGAATTTGCCTTCCCATATATCTTCTCCTTTTGGCGAAATTGTTGGGTACGCAACTGAACAGTTATCAAGCAGTAGTCTCTGCAGTAGCCCAGATGACATCAGCAACGATGTGGTTAAACTTGAAGAAATGGAGGCACGGCAGTTGCGGTTAATCTTTCAGGTTCAACTGCCTGGTGCCGTACTTTCTGTCTGTCCATACTTAGATCGTTATTTCTTGGCATCAGCTGGCAACATCGTACGTTATCCTTTTTATTTTATTTTTTTATGCAAGTTTGTTTTAGATGCCGCAATCCTGTTATGAAAAAGATCAGTAATATGGCTATTACTAATATTCATTTATTTCTATCTAGCAGACATGTTGAATTTAATACTGGAAACATAATTATGAATTTTGCATGTCAACTTGGATAACTTCTGGTTTTGCTGTCCAGTATATTTAACATAGAATTTTGTTACTATCAGGTCAATGTATTTGGTTTTCTAAATGAGAACCCACAACGACTGAGAAAGTTTGCTACGGCAAAGACACGCTTTGCTATAACGTGTTTGGCTACGTATTTTACAAGAATTGCTGTTGGTGATTGTCGGGATGGCATCCTTTTCTACTCGTACCGTGAGGTATGATTATTTTATTCTCCATGCCCCAATTTCTGCCAATGTATTATGCTTTATATTGTTAAATATATCCCATAGATATTTTATCAAATAACAAGCAACACTGGTCTTATTTGTAGGATAATAGAAAATTAGAACAGATGTATTCTGATCCAGTACAAAGACTGGTTGCTGATTGTGCACTTGTGGATATGGACACCGTTGTAGTATCAGATCGCAGTGGGAACATCTCCGTTCTTTCCTGTGCGGATCATCTAGAAGGTGCATTATGCTTTCAAATTTTCTGGGTTACCTGCTTATCTGGATGCATGCTATTCTTGTTGATATGCAATTTAAAATTCATCTTTATTTACATGTGAAAGCAGAACTATCATATAAATTGATATGCAATTTAAAATTCGTCTTTATTTACATATGAAAGCAGAACTATCGTTTAAAATTTTAATGTCACCAATTCACTTATGATGTTTTTTCTTTTACTGACTTGTGTTTGTGGATGGAGGTATACAGCCTTAAAGCTTTCATGTGAAATATCTTCCTATATATTTCCTTTCTATTTTTAATGTTACTTTATGAGATTTATGCCTGTTTGTCTTTTAAATTTGTCGGTTACATCATCCATGATGAACTGCAATTTATCTGTCAGCTTTTGTTATAAAATTTGCTTCCACTAAAAGCTTGTTGGTTTGTGTTAAACCTTCAGAGTTGCAAAGGATCTTATCATTGTTTGATTTCCCCCCCTTGTTGCAGGTAGTGCAAACCCAGAGAAGAATCTAACACTAAACTGCTCATTTTACTTGGGAGAAACTATTATGGGCATTCATAAGGTAAAAACTTGAACATTATCATTGTTAGTATTAATGCTGGTTGTTAAATGTTAAATGGTATTCAAAATTCTTATAAAGATGGAAACTAAAACATGATTATGTTGAGATTTATTTTAGTATAAATAATTAATTTAAAGGGATACAAGGAAGGGAACAACATTTTCTTTGTTATTAAACTGTGTAGTATATTTATTCCAAATGTTTATTTTAAACATGTTTGTGCTTGAAAAGATAAGTATATTGGGGGTAGGAGTGATATTTTGAAGGTCTCTGGCACGAAGGTATAGGTTTAGACATATCAGTATTTCGGTTTCTAGTATGTTTGCCCGTGCTTGCCTGGTCATTTTGATAAATTTCTTTTATTTTAATTATCCTCCATCGGGTTCAGGAATTCTCTCTTTTCATTTTGGTTTTCACTTTGTGTGGAGTCAGATTAGACCCTTCAATTTTAACTTATTCAGTTATCGTAACTTTCTTGCAGGGTTCGTTCTCATACAAACTTCCAGTTGATGATATGCCGAACAAGTGTAATGGTGCAGAGAGAGCATTTGAAGATTCATACAACAGTATCGTGGCTGGTACGCTGCTCGGAAGTGTGCTTGTTCTGATTCCCATTACGAGGTTGGTTCATTTTGATTTCCTGTTATATTTGCTGTCAGACTGCTTGTACTGTTATGGTTTGCTAATTTTTCTCCATTAACTTCCTCATGTTTGATTTCCTGCTATATTTACTGCTTGCACTGGTATTGTTTGCCAATTTTTCTCTGGACTTCCTCGTGTAGTAGTCCTATAGAATTATGAAGGCATCCAGTGGTTTTTTTACTTACTGAATTTAGTCTCAATCAATTAATTCAAATTTTGTTAATATGCAGGGAAGAGTATGAACTGTTAGAAGCTGTACAAGCAAAACTTGTGCTTCATCCATTGACTTCCCCTCTGCTAGGAAACATCCATAAAGAGTTCCGTGGGCGTGGACCACTGGTAAGCTATTCTCACCAGTTTGAGTTTGTTTCATACAGTTAGCCATAAGTTAATTATAAGTAGTTGGGGAATTGTTTATCCCCCATTTGGTTGCACGCGTTAGCCCCTTTTTTGCTGAAAATTTGTATCAAATTATTACCACATTAGTCATCAGATTGTTGCTGTCTGCTAGATTCTTGTTCACTGCTTACTTTCCAGTTCATATATTTGTGGATTGCTTGTTTACTAGTTAATAAAAATTTTATGTTGATGCTTCCATTCCATTTTATCTGATGAAGATGGAATATTTGTCTATAAACTTTCAAGCTAAATCTGTGGCTACTTGAGAAAAAAGTTAAAAATATCTGATTAGCCAAACTTTTGAAGAAGGTTTTCTGTAAACACCCATGTAATTTGTAATGTTGCACACTTTGGTTATTACCTTGCTGCCGTATTGGGTCATCCACCATTCTGATGTCATCTTTTAACACATTATTTCTTTTCTTTTCTTTTTCTTTTTCACTTTTTTGTTTGGCGGATAACATCTTTAGCACATTAATTCAATCCAGTTCTAGATGTATAAAAAACTTTTGGAATGTGGTCAAGATGACTATCAAAATGATATAAAATTACTGAATAAGAAGGATGTGGTCTCATATTTTGGTTCTTCACTCTTTGTCCTCATATTAGGAAATTCTTGCACTGCAGGCAGGACCTACCATGCTTGATGGGAACTTGCTTGCCCAGTTCTTGGAGCTGACAAGTATGCAGCAAGAAGACGTGGTTACATCATCATCCACCGCCCAAAGTTCTAGGGGCACAATACCAGATTCTTGCCATGGTTCTCCTATTTCTGTCTGTGAGGTTGTTCGGGTGCTTGAAAGAGTTCATTACGCCCTTAACTAGAAGAATATCAGTGTTTATCACATTTTATATCACGAGGTATTTTCCGGGGAGAAAGAGACAACAGGGTGGTGGTGGTGACGTGCGATCAACAAATAATTTTGCATGAATACGGACTTTAAGGTAAGATGCATACCAGAATGAGGTTACTGGGACCTAAGCGGGAGAAAGTTTTAGTCAGATGTCTCGAATTTGTATCGTAACTTTGATTGCTTTGCCGTAATGAATTTAATTGGTTTTATACGTGGACAATCCCCCTTGTCGGTTGCATCTGCATATTATCGTTGTCCAAAATGCTCCAAGCTGTCATAAATAGATGTGTATTGTTTCATCTTTAATGAACGCATATAGATAGTGAAACTGAAATGAGGGATTTTTGCAGCGACTGATTTGTTTGTAAAATAAAGACTAGCCCAGGTCGAGTTCGATAAAACTTGTTTTTATTCAGGCCCCGGTTTGATAACGAAGGGTTTGTGTTTGATGATATCACGACCACTGAACAAGCATGAGTGCAAGTTTATGTTGGACAAAATCAATCGTGACACTTGATCATTGCTGTTCGATTTCTGTTTATTTGGTTGGTTCTGAATTGGGATTGAGTTCCTTTTTTTTAATAAATTAGATTAGATTAGCAAGCATAAACACAACAAATCTGTGTTCATTAAGCTCAACGGAGGAAAAAAACATAGCCTGTTTGAGTTTCACCTACTTTACCTTCTTTAGGGGTTAATTTGGACATTGTGGCTGGAAAGGATTATAAAGGCTACAGAGTCTCCGGTGCTGGTTCGTCAATGTATTCATAAGGTATGACTATATCCACGTTCCGACGTTTGCATTAGCATTTAGCTCTGTAACAAACAGATCTATATGATCGCATTTAGATTCTGCTTTAAATTCCACGGTTTACTTGTGCAGTTTACATGGGAAGTGTCAAGGCCAAAATTCAGTGAGCTTAATCTGCATGCCGTTGTCATTTTCCTCCAACAGGATAGTTTGGTTAGACGTCGTTAAGTTCCAAATATGTATTAGTTACAACTTGGTACCCTGAGGTATGATGTAACTACACGAGTAATCCAAAGTATAGTATCTACACGAGTAATCTTGAACATAAGCTTTTTGGTCACCCTTGTAGTTACAATTAGTAATCTCGCAGTTGCTAGTAATCTCAGGATTAACAGTGGAGATACAAAAACTCCAGGATCACATGTGCAGTAACGCCGGTATACCCCAAGGTACAGGGTCGTAATCAATCCCTAAAATATTGCCGCTACTAAGTATCTTGATTTGATGTATGCTCTTCATTAATTACACATGTATCTGTTAGAGTCTCACGAGTAAAATCATTTCTTGTTTCTTAGGAGATTCTAAACGGCTGATGAAGTTGTTAGCAAAAGAATTTGTTGTCTCGTATGAGAAAGACTGTTACGCATGATATTGTGAACCTTTAACTTCACACAAACGCAATATAAATAAGTTGTTTAAAAGCTGGGGGTTTTTTTTTTTCCTGTTTAAAACTGGCCCAAATTTTAACTATACTGCTCATCACATTTGAGCTCCTTTGCTTTGTGTCCTTGGTAACCCACTTGAGCCCTTTTGTTCAGTGGAGACGAAAAAAAAATTGGTACAGCAGGTGAGGGAGTGGCGTGCGTACGTACTCCTTGGGTAAGGGATTTGTATTCCTAATACTCGGGCGCCACAGTAGTTGGAATGAGTATGTACTCGAGTTAGCATTTCTTTGATTGAAATCATGATAAGAAGAAGACGTATTAGTGAACTGTGGAAGTTAACAAGGATCTCAGAATGAGTCTGAAGGTTCAAGAAGATAAGCTCTCAGCAATTTAAAGCTGATCAAGTCCAAAGGAGCAAGCATCGAAAAGCACGTAAAACAGACTTGAAAAAATTCCGAAAGGTTCAAAACTTTCTTATATTATCAGGGGCGGATCCAAAAACTTTTTCCTTTGATGGCACAGATATAGTTATGCATGTAAGTTAGTAACTCGTGATGTATAAACTCCAGCTAGTAAAAAGCTTATTTATACAATAATCATAAAGATCTCAATACTAATATTTTTTTCATATCATTTTCTTATCAATATAGGATCAAAGTTTTTTATTTTTATTACAAAAACTATCTTAATATTACTAAAATCAAGCATTGATTCTTCATAATTGTTCTTTACGTGGCCTTATGTTTCATGTAATTGGGCACCTATTAATATTCTATGGGGGCACCCATATGAAGTATTAATAAAGATCATGTAATTGTTCTTTACCTTCTCATGTTCTTTATCTTCTGGAAGTGCAGGTTATGAAACTATTGTTACTGGAGGTGGTAGGTAGCTCAATATTTGTCCTAAGCTTTTGTCTTCTTTTGAGTTCAAATGTGTTGATTAATTTAGGTCGTCAATGAAGCTGTCACGTGCAAAACTGATAATTGTGGTGAAGGAATTTTCAATAGGAGGTAGACAATCCCCCGTTCTCCTTCGAGTGTTAATGTTATCTCTATGTGGACTCGGCTCAAGGTATCGAATTTACTTGTATATCCGCTATGTACGTATGATTCCCAACTGTAAGTCTTCTCTTCTCAAGTTTGAGGACTCTAAACGTCCACTGTTATTTCCTGATAAATTTTATTATTTTGTTCGCTTGTTTTATTTTGAAATGATCAGTATAGCATTCTCTTATTATTTCAACGAATTAACTTCAATTGTAGCAGGTACCGGCTAGCATCAATTACCGTGCCAACTAACCTATCTAATGGTAAGTTTTGACCTCAGATGATTATTTGAAATAATGTAGTTATGCATTTGTTGTTAGACAAATTGTGTTAAGGTTGTATCATAGATTATAATCATACATAAATGGTCAAGAAGAATTAGACTAATATTTTCATGGTTTTCCGGATGTTTCCTGGTTAAGATCAGTGGATCCTCAGTCTATATGGGATTTGGATCCTCTCCACTACAAAAAAGTAGTGGAGAGACCACTGCTTTTAATCTCAATCGTTGATTATTTAGTAGGCGGTTATGATACAATCTAAATCTAACACTTATCATACCCTCGTGTATTGCACTCATTCCTAATTTGCACTAAAAGAAAAATTCACAACCATTAACTAGATAATCAATGGCCATGACTATGTAGTGGTCCCTCCACTATTTTTTTTTAGTGGAGAGGATCCGAATCCGTCTATATGTCGCGTTTAAATTGAATACAATCCAGAAGTATAATTGGTAAGTATCATATTCGGAATTTCCTCAAAACTTGGTATACTTCAAGTAGGTTTCTCTCAGCTTCGAGGGTTCCGGACTTGCTTTGATACTGTATGAAACGTCTTGGTCATTTGCTAAATCCACACGATTTTATTTTGAATTCATTCTTTTGCATTGGTTTGATAGGAAATACTTCGTTCTTTTCGGTCATTTGGATTGTATAGGCATTGATATGTTAAGACTGCAAATTCGATCTCTTTTGGGGGGGTTTTGCTTTTTGGGCGGATTTATTTGGTCAATTACATTAAGTGTGCCATTCGGTTCTTACGTTTCTCTTGCGTCGATCTGATAGTGTGTCAATTCTTGTCTTGATAAATTTTGATTAATTCTCATTTTGTTGTTTATTACATGTCAAATGAAAGATTCAATCACCGATTGTATAAGTATGTTACGACTCAAAGCCCACAGTTTATGATAAAGAATAACATAATGTCTTGACTTATTATGTGATATTACGAACGAATAAGTTGGCAAACTTAGAATATTTTTACTTAATTTTTCTTTCATTTCTTGATCTTAAGGTTATCTTTTTAGCTTGTTTAAATGTACCCTGAGCCTGAGTACTTAATGTATGGGAAAGTAAGCAATAAGAGAAAGACTTGTATGCCTACGAAATTGTTTACCTTGAACTATTCCTCACCTACGATGAGAACCCTAAATGCTAAGAAAATTTAGGTATGCAGGTAATAAATCTATGAGTTTAAGATACAAATACCGTTAAAAATATCCATACATCCAAATGAAAGGATGAGAGAAGACTAAATAATTAATATGTGAATCTTAATTCTCATATGTCTGTAAAAATTTTTAACAATATTTAGCTTTATCATATTCTACACGCATGCATGCATGTGTGGGTGCGCCTTTGTGGTTAAGACCAACCAACACTAGATAGAGACTTAAAAGAGTTCTTTAATGCCAATCTTGAAGATAACTAATCAATTTCATGGTTGTCTCTCTTCATCTTAAGAGAGAGAAAACGGAGACTTCAAATGACCTAGGTTCATAGTAATACATACATAAACAACAAATTCAAGTTTTCCTGTCATTTCTGTCTGATACATTCGTTTTCTTGTTCTCATATGAAACTTTTACCTATACTTCTTTGAGGAGAAGCTGTCATGGATAAATTCCAAAAAATTCCAACACCGATGTATAACCACCATTATGAGATGAATTGCAAGGATTAAGAAGCATATTCATCTCCGACGTTCCGTGTGGAGGACGAGGATGAATCTATAATTTGTCCTTGTGTACTTCATTATTTGTATACACGTCTATTTATAAACAGACTACACCCTTATGCTTTCTAACTTGGAATTTTGTTACAAACAATGTGCATTAATAATAAATTGTATCAAGACTGTTGCTTGTTATTAACTTTTTGAATAATGTCAAAACTATTTTCAATATTTATGATTACTGAAATGAAACCATGATCATGAAAAATATGTCATCGACTATTTAAATAGACTTTAATTCTTTTCCTGTATGTTTGGTAGTTAAAAAATGATAGACAAAGCAACGACAAATGATTTGTAGGCATACAAAAGATATTGTACTCAAAATTATATTTTTCCACCAAGAATGGGTAATATTTTACATACAGAAACATCAAACTAGGCAAATCAAACACATCACTCTTGTATGTTCTACACCCAAAAATGTCCCCAAGGACTACACCAGGGACGGGTTGTATCACAAAATTTTTACCCTGGATAGTCAACCTATTGAACCCAAAAGAGAAGAGTAGAATTCCAATTATACAATTTGCCGCGACTGTGTGACTCCGCCGACACCTAAAACCTTCATAATCTACAACAAGCCTCATTAGGCAATCATAATCTGGATAAGAAGTCAATGATTTATTCCAGCAGAGCTCATATCATGTTTCCATCCGAAGAGAGTGGCGATTGCAGATTATCATCCCTATGAAGCCAAATATTTGATTCTTTATCCATCAAATCCAGTTGGACGTTCATTTCAAGCTCTCAGCATATTCTATTGCTTTTCTCTTGACATGTTCAATCCTCTCTTCATCACCTTGTGACTTTTCGTAGTTGAGATACTTCTTGAATAAAAACTGCAAATTAGTTCAACAGAAAACTAATTAAAAGAAAATGATGAAAACAAGTAAACTAATGAGAACATCAGAGCCTGTTGGAATGTTGTATTTCTAGGACATTCAAACAGAAAGAAATAAGAAATACAGTATAGCATGTCATGACAGGAAAAGTCAAATTTCAGGTATGAGCGCATTTGTCTACTAGTGTCTATAAATAAAGACATTTCAGATTCCGACACTGTTGTGTATTAAAAAAATGAAACAAGATTTTGTACCTCAATTTTCCTCGGAGGAAGGCTTAAACAGGTTACCCTCTCAAATAATGCTCGAATGACATCTGGATCGCCTAGTCGGATCTCCTGCATATACCACATATTTTAAGGGAATGAAAATCCTTTCAACTATGTGACATTAAAATTTGCATATAAAAAGGGTTCGGGATAAATTACCTGATCAAGGTAAATACTCCAAAGATCTGTTCTCTTAGGATACTCCCGCAGCACACCTTCAAACATTGACCTACCTCGATCAGGTAAGCCACATTTGAACTCCAGAATTGCAGTCTGTGAGATAAATTTGATGTGTTTTTTGCGAGGAAGACTTAGAAGAGCACGGTTTACAATCGATTGAATTCCCTCTTTGCCTTGCTTCAAGAGGTTTTGCACACGATGCAACCAGATCTACAATTCAAAAAGAGCGTAAGTCCCCTGCATACCATCCAAAGAGAAAACAATTTGAATACATAGCCACTTGCCTTGCATGAAGTTTTGAATTTTTTTGCCATTCTTTCAAGAAGATCTTCTGCCAGGTCATGCTGTTCGGTCCTTTCATACATCCCAAGCAGAGCGAAATGGACTTTTTTGGGATCACAGTATTGCAGCGCTCTTTGGAAGATTTTTCTAACAGACTCCTATATTTTTTGGGCGGATAAAGTTTAATAAAGCTACAATTGTTTACTTTGGCAAATAAAGCATCAAACAGACAACATACCTTGGGAGGATTTCCATATTGGTTCTCTAAATTAAAATAAGCTGTCCAAATATTAAGCTTTTCATTTTCTTCTCGGAAATTTATTGTTCTCAAAGCCCTTCAGAGAATAAAAAAGGATATGTCAGAATATCAAAATTCAAGTTCGCTAAGAAATGCAGAAAATAGTGAATAAAAGCTATCATATAAATAAAATAAATAAAATTGTCAGGCAGAAAAGTATTCACTGAAAGAAAGCCCAAACAGGTACTCAAAACAAAATGTTTTCGAAGTTTATTCACGTTTGTACCCACAAAAAAAAACCCACCCAAAAAAACAAAACAAAAACCCACACGCAGACCTCTTCCCCCAAAACTGAGTGCACATTCTATCAGAATGCCCCGCACCGTGCGGGGTGTTCTGAGCCATTGAGATAACAAGTAGGGAGGCAGTTTGGGTATTTTACTGCCCACTCTATGGCTCAGGTCTCACCACAGTGTGGTGTCTCTGATAGAATATGTGCACTCCCCCAACCCACCCAACCCAAAATAAATAAATAAATAAAAATACCGAATAGAAACGTTGGAGGAAAAAACCAGAACACAGAGAGAAAAGGTTAATTTATTGTTCATGTTGGACCTTGTCTCTATACTAAACAAATTTATATAGGGGAGAGAAGGAGAATTTCGACCAAACCTCTCTACAGGTTCCTTAAAGAGCAGAAAAAAAGAACTATGGTCCATGTAAATTAATTACTTAGCTAAAGAGTTGATCCATATCACCCATAGCTCTATTTCAAAATGAAGGGAGGGATACATGGAGTGCAAATTTGAGCCTAGATGAAAATTAAGGGATATATTGTGACCTAGAAGTGAAGGTTGTTGTAGAAGATAACTGACGATTCCAATAGTTAGGGGATGCATATCATCGACTCCAGTTACAAGTTGACAAAATGGACTATTAAGGGATATACGGGCAAATCTTCTAACACTCAAATCCTATCTTATGATCAAGTTAGGTTGAGATATGAGCTAATATATAATATTAAAAAACTTCCTTGAAACATATTTACAGAATCCGATTCAGTTCTGGAGAGGGATGACTAATGGAAGAATAAGGAGCTGCAGGCCTAATTAAAATCATTTGCAATAGCTCATCTAACTTGGAAGATAACCATTAATTTTTTTAGAAACCAGTCCAGTCCAACGTGTATTAATTAAAAATAAACAGCACAACTTTTATCTACCTAACTTCCTTTTCACTTCCTTCTGAAGATTAATCATAATGCAGAAACCAGAAACAGTTTTTTAACACTGATTGGACAAATAATACCTTTCAGCAATAGAGCGTGCCTTCTCAACATCTGCAAGTGACTCCATAAAGGCCATGTACTGCACCCAGACAAAACTGCTATTAGGGGAGCTCCTCACCAATTTCTCAAAATCTTCCTCTGTACGTGGTATATCCTTCTGTAAGATTCTCTCTTCAGCAGCAGTAATTTCAAGCTCTCTGTTTCAACAATTATGTGGTTCTTTTTTTTAGTTCCGTGACACTTTATGCTTAATTAAACAGGAAAATCATAAGATATTAAGCATATGTACCTCTCCTCTTTTGCCTTCTTCCTTTCACGTCTATCACTCCTCTTCACAACCAAGTTGTTCTGTCCAATACTATCCTGCTTTTCACTTGCATCTTCCATGTCAGAACTGTCCGACTGATCAAGAGAGACCTGGAGAGGAAGGACTGAAGCCCTTGTCTGAACTTGTGAAAGAACTGCAGGGTCATCTTCGCAATTAAAAATCTCTTGGATTAGTGGAGAGTCATCATTCTGTTGCATTGTAGGCAAAGAATCATACATAACTACAGGATCATCAGCAGTTTTGTCATTTTCAGAATGGCCAGATACAGTTTGTCCATGATTGGTATCACCAATGTAAGATTTCTTCATTCCCAATGATATGCGGCGCCTTTCCTCATCAACCTGAAAAGATGTATGCACATGACATGTAACTTAGAGGTAGGAGCATGCTACAACCATATTGCAGGAAATAATAGAACTCCTGAAATTTCCGGAGGATATAATCTACCCAGATTATTGCATAGTCAAATCAAGCAAGTAAACATTGCAACAAAATTAAAGGTCAAGTCCAAAAAAGATCTGAAGAGAACGATGTATAAGCCGCATAAATTCAAGCTAACCTTTAGAACCTTTGCTACAACCCTTTCCCCGGCCTGATATTTGCCTTCAATTTTATCAAGATGCTCATCGGACACTTCTGATATATGACAAAGGCCAACCTGGTGCATGATAACACAAGGAAAAAAATTACAGACGTCATAATTTGTTATTACTGGAAAGCAAATTAAAAATCAATTACCATGCTGGTATTATCAATTTTGATAAATAAACCGTATGGTTCAGTCCGCCTAATCAAGCCAGAAATCACATCTCCGACTTTCACATTGAGAAAAGAGCTTGTGTCTGATTTTACTCTTTGGCTTTCAGTGTCTTTCTTCAATGTTACATCGACTCTCTTTGATGAAGAATCCACTGATAAGACCCTGTCAAAAAGGGATTTTGACTTACATATAGGCAAGAGTTTCGTATTTAACTGGTTTATGAACTATAATTACCTGCCATGCACGAGTAATCCTACAGGAAACTCCTTCTCAGGGGTATCAATGTAATCATCAGACAAGTTTGACAAGAGGACTCGAGCATCAATCCTTCGAGAAAGCATAATGAAACATCCTTTTGTAGTAACATTCTTTACATAACCCTGCACATTTGAGGTGGTATGGCTTAATGAACGAACAACGATGTCAAAAAATTTATATTCAAATATTAATAATGATTACACTTATCTACTACTTCTCACTTAAAAGCAACTACTGTTCATAATACAGTGAATACATCCTTGCTACAGTATAATACATAAAATATGGTTTGTGCTACAGTAAATAATACAGTGAATACATCCTTGCTACAGTATAATACATAAAATATGGTTTGTGCTACAGTAAAATTCTCAGCCTCGACCATTCTGACCGCTTTTAGCGTGTTTCCTCATAAAATGACACTGTTCATGTACAGTGTAATTTTTGAATCTGTGGAAGCTGAAGTAACATTTTTTAACATTGAAAACAGTGTTCCTTTTTTGTCCTGCAAATTGATGAATTTAACCTTTACCAGGCATTTCACAAATATAAATCTTTTCTGGCTCTATTATAGAAAATTGATAAAACTTGCTAATTGGTGTACTATTTTGTTAACTAGTTCAAAAATTCACTCTGTAAATAATAATAAAAATTATCGCTGGAGTTTTTATAAATAGTTATTTTTAATCATATTATCAATTTGCTAACAAATATACCTCGGTAAATAATAACCGTAGCAACGCGCGGGCTTAATACTAGTCTATCATAGATTGGTAACTACATTAAATAATCTTTTCATATGTTCCTAAGAAAACTATACATGTTTCTAAACAGATGGCTAAAATATCAAACAAGGCAGTTTGTCTGGTTAACATACTGACTATTCTCACTTTTGCAAACACCAAATTCTCGTCTACGTCCACTTCAAGTGATGCCAACCCTTGTGGGAAGCTACCATATAAAGACAAAGTGAAAAAATAATGCCAACCAAAATGATGAGCATAACAGAGACTCCTACACAGTTATCAACGAAACTTGGGAAAATAACCCTAACTCACCAATCTCACCTTACTCAAGTGTGTTACTAATAGAAACTAAAATTTGATTTGACCATCACGCTCATGTTATGCCAAGTCCAATGATATAACAAGAACAGCAACAAAAAGCCTTAATCATGTGGTTCTTCACTATAAGCTGCGTAACTCCGTCCCACCATTCCGCTCCATTAAGAGGCAATTTCTCAGACAGTTTGAGTCACAAGAGTCCTATACCACGAAAATACTGAAAGTATCCCTTAAAAGAGTTTCAAAGCCTTGAGATTTGAAAAGGACAAAGACAGCAATGCCAAACTATAACTAGGAGAGTAGTTATAGATATAATAGAATCTATACACATTTACAGCCATGTTAAGGAAAACTGTGTTAGACTCATCGGACACGAAAGAATACATTATCGGAGGGACATAATACTGTCTATGTTCCAAAAGAAACTTACAGATCATGAGATATTAAATAAACATCAGTTAATCAAGGTTTTTTCTCTCTAAGATATAAGACAAATAGCTAAAAAGTAGATATAAACCAAATTGAGATTTAACGAATAGAATCCCTTATAGTACTGTTTCATATGTCTTACAGTAGACCCTATTCAGGCCAAAAAACGAGAAGTGAATGAAAGTATGAAACGTTAGTACTACCTCGCTCATCTATGGCACTTCATAGTCTGCAAAAATTTTGAGGCCAACTTCTCGTTTGAATAGGCTTTTGAGTCTAATTTCTTGTTTGAATAGGCTTTTGAGTCTAAATTCTAAATGGGGAAACTAGACTGCATAACCTGAAAAGGGTGTTAGCTTTCCTTAAAACTGCCCATCACAATTAAATGGCAAATAGCCCTTTCTCAATCAATGCCACAAGTAGGTTCTAGCACCAACCAATAGAGGTTTATTGTAAAATTGACAAACTAATAATGACTAGACATTTGTGGGGGTGCTTTTCTCACATTTTTATAGTCCTACCAATGAAAGATAACTCAAAAGTCATCACAGCAAATCAAATACTACTTAAATGTAAATAGCCTTCAAAAGGTGATAAGCATTATACATTCTGAGAAAAGATAACATTCAATTATCCTAACAAATTAAGCATGATACTTTATATATAAAATTATACAGCTCTAAAGAGCATACTCGAGAAAACAACATTAAAATAAAGACAATAAGTACCTTGACTTCCATGTTTGGATGTAGATCTTCAATGTTTTCAAACCGTTCAAGTATTGAATCCCTGTGATGCAAATATAGGTTCCTCAAAAATGGCAACCAAAACAAAAGTTCATCGTGAAAGCATAATTAGAAATTAAACTTTGTGCATCAGAAATAAAAAAATTTGAAGCACAACATAAAGATGTTTTCAAAAAGTTAACAGTCACCATAGAAAGTATATATATGAGAAAATTGGGTATGCTTGGTAGTGAGGTGGCATATTCCCCTCCACTAATTAAAATCGGAGCCCACATTCACATGGGTTGGGAAGCAGTTGAGAATTGGAATGAGTGGATGGGAATAGGCCACCTCACTACCAAGCACAAAATTTGTGCTTGGTACCAAGCATACCCATCTCTCTCTCTCTCTCTCTCTCTCTCTCTCTCTCTATATATATATATATATATATATATATATATATATATAAAAGAAAAAATATATATATATATATATATATATATATATATATATATATATATATATATATATATATATATATATATATATATATATATATATATATATATATATATATATATATATATATATGAGAAAAATGGGTATGCTTGGTACCAAGCACAAAAAGCTATGCTTGGTAGTGAGGTGACATAATCCCCTCCACTCATTCAAATGGTTGCATATCTCCATGCACTCCTCAATCCATGTGAATGTGATCCCCCATTTGAATGAGTGGAGGGATTATGTCACCTCACTACCAAGCACAAAATTTGTGTTGAGTACCAAACATACTCGTTTTTCTCTATATATATCCATTTCTCTCTCTATCTATCTATATATATACTAGTGTGTGCCCCGTGCGAAATACGGCCTTCCCTTTTTTATTGCTACAGTAATTCCGTTTTTAATTTAAATGCCACAACAATACTTTTAAAAATGCTACGGTGATATTTTTTTAAAAGGCTGCAATCTCTCAACTCTGCTACATTAATATATTTTAAACTAACGATTTTTTGATAACGCTACAGTATCCCTGCTATGCTACAGTAATACATCTTTGAAAATGCTACAGTAAAGTAATGTAGTGTTTATTGTAGTATGAATAGGGATACTTAGGTCCTTCCATTATTATAGAGGAATAGATTATGATACATTATTGTTGGGTTTCTCTGATTTTAGTCTCTTAAATGTTTAAATTCTGAAATCAATCCCTCAAATCATTGAAATTGTCATTCTCTAATTCTTATAGGTTATCTCAAACTTAGTTCCACAATTAACTCAAATTGTCAGTAGGTTCCCCACTTCTTGTGAGTTGTTTCAAATCAATCCATCCGATCAGGTAGCAAGATTTAGAATTGAGGGAGCTGCTAGAATTTTCAATGGTTTGACTCTTGAGGGACTACACTATCAGATATTAAACCTTTGAGAGCGTTATAGCAAAATAACCTTTTTTAATGCAAAATCCATAATTGTTAGTATGTGAAATTTATCGTTTGCACCAGTTACCGTAAAATCGACAGCCAAAAAATTCACGCTCTTCGGTTTCCTAGGGTGAATCAATCAAATCGGTTTCCTAGGGTGAATCAATCAAATCGATAACCTAATGTCAAGTAGTACCAATCCTCCGCCATCGACGCCACCGCCAAACACGATGATGGGTTCGTTACTCCGCCCAGTGACGTTCGTCACCGGCAACGCAAAGAAGCTCGAAGAAGTTCGAGCGATCCTGGGCAACTCAATCCCCTTCAAATCCCTCAAACTCGACCGTAAAGCTCTCACCTTTATCTGTACTTTTTGCCCTAATCAACCCACATAGATCAATTGAAAGATTGCATACTTGGCTTGGGGTTGTGCTTGCAACTGCTCTCCTCCTCTTTTTCTCTCGTTGTAACCGCAGGAGAAGTGAGAGAAATTATGGTTGTATTTGTAGGCTAGGGTTAGGGGCGGGGTTGGTGGTGGGGTGCGAGAGAGAGAGGGGTGCGGGATCGGTGGAGGTTGGGCTTAGGCGAGGGCGTCGGCGGAGTCAGCAGCGGCCATGAGGGGGAGAGAGGTTTTTTCTGAAGACTTTTCTAAAGAAATATTGAGAGAGGTAGAGAGAGAATCGTGGGATCTTCAAAAAAGTGTACAGTTAAAAGAAAGAAGCGGAGATTTTGAAGGAGAACATGGCTTATGTGTGAAACGTGGGTTGGTTATACATTTTACTGTTCATTTTATCTTTATTGTTGTTCTCTTTTAGCACTAAAATATATATATATATATATACACACACACGCGCACACACACACACACACGACAACAAAAAATTCCACTTAATGTCGCCTAGAAAAGGCACTTTACAATCATTCTGTATTATGTTCACTACATAGCTAACATGAAATACAATCTACATGAAACTGGTGGAATATTAGCTTTCATAAATGTGCAGACTTCTAGAATATATTCTTCAAACACTCTTTTGACAATTCACAGATGCATTTTTGCACAGTTAACAGATAACATTGCATATATGTTCATTATTTTTCTTTGAAAATTATCTAAATTGTCTTAGTTATAAAGATATCAAAATAGTACTCAGTAAACAAATTTATTAACAGTTCAAAATGTACTTCAACACATGAATAATAAGATATATTAAGCTCTTTAGAATTTTTAGGGCACATTAATTTCTTTAGGATGTTTGCTAAGACATAAGGTTATAGACTTTAACAGAAAGATGAGATATTATAAGATTAAAACACAAGCATGCATGCAGAAAAATAAATTAATACTACCATCAATGCAAGGAATTAAAGATTGTGATATATAGTCTTTTTGTCTATTGCCATAACTCAGTTATTTTCATGTCTCCATACCTCTATTATGTCATATCCATGTCTATATGTCAGGGTTCAATATTCTTCTCCATATGTGTGTTTTCCCATCCCTCACTTGTGCGATCACACACAAACAAAAGACAGAAGGGATAAACGAACAGGTATAGTTAGCAGATAGACACTCAAATCGTAAATCATAGCAGTCTTATGAGTTCTGTTATGAATTTTATATGATTTATTATTTGAAAATAAGATATATCAACTCAACATCAATCATCTCTTACATTCTTCAGGAGTCAAATTTGGCTGAGCTCTTTATTCCTAATTGAGACTAGAAAGACATCGCTATCAGAAGTATTGGAGAAAACATACCAGAATATACATCATAAGGGGAGTTCAGATAAGTAACCAATAAGGACGGTAGGAAATGACTGGAAGATAAGATAATCTAATAGTTGCTGCACTAATCCGTAAGAAACAAGGAATACAAAACTGAACATAATGCAGTAGCAATAGTGCAAGGTTTTAGTGCAGGATAAAGAGAACTGCTACCCACAAAAAAAGGGGGAAAAAAGAGGGAAGAAAAAAGAAAAAAACCAATAGAATGATTCTTTAGGAACCAACTTAAAGTTCACCGGAACAGTGTGTTGGGTCATCTATGGATGATTCACACTCATTCATCTTGACTCACACACCTTAAATGGTTAAAAATTGACAGATCATGTAACGAAAATTTTTTCTCATGCATCAACTAGCATTAATTTCCTACAGACCCATAGGTTGAGATTGGTTTCAAAACAACCATTACCATCACATGCACATGCATATAAATGAATATGCACATACAAACAGGTGTATACACCAATAACAAGGTACAAATGCGCACACATACACAAATGCAAGCATCCACGCTCATGCATGGACACGGATGCACATGTGAGCACGTGCATGCACATGCCACATGCATGAATGTAGACATGCAAACAAGTGCATGCTCACACATGCATGCATGCTCAATGCACATGCACACCCATTTTCATGCATGTACACACATATAAACATGCACACCCACACACGTGCACGCATGCACAGGGCAGACCAACACATGTGCATGCATACCTGTATGCATGTAGAAATGCAAGCACACAAATAAGCATACACATGCGCATAAACCTTTGCATGCAAACACAAACATCCCAAAAATCTAGAACAATAGATCAAACACACTTCATACCCTATATTTGTTTTGTGGGTATGGGTAATTAAATTTTTTGAAAGGTGAATAGCAACAAAAAAAAATATGATAAGCCAATGGTGAACGTGTGGTGCAAAAATGATGAACCTACCTTTTAGAATTATTGAAACTGTGTACCCTAACTTACGCGTGCGCATCAACATAAATAATCGTTAACAAAAGAAAAAAAATAACAGGACCCAAAAGGAGTGCAACTCACATGCTGTCACTCCCGATGGTGGAGTTGATGCCCATTAATGATGTACGCAAGGACAAATCAACATGAAGAAGTCCATCTGAAGAACGGCTTATTTCAAGGACCTTGCACTTAACAAATTGCCCTTCCTCGTATCTGGACAGAGGATTAGATGCCCAAGTATCTAAAAGTTCAGTATAATGAACCCTACCATGACGATGAGGTCCAATCTGCACAAGTAACCCACCAACACCAGGAAGTACTTTTTTAATTCTTCCCCCAATAAGATCCCCTTGCATAATATGCTCCAGACCAGTTGCATCAGAAACATTACTTTCTTCAATCTCTTTGGCTGAACTTCCACGATCAGCAAGTGAAGAAATGGATGGGCATAACCGCAACAACCTTTTCTCTTTATGCATACCTATAATACGGCCTTCCACAGCCCGTCCAACAGTATAGAGCTTTCCAAATTCCTGAAGTTCACTGGGCTCAGAAGAACTATCAAGAATATAAATATGGGCCCTGACATTCCGTGACACCGTTAACCACACCCATTCATTGTCAACCTTCGATACATATCCACTAACAATATTTCCAACAGAGAAATTAAATTCTCCACTAATCATTTGTGCTGACCCTGGATAGGAATCCATCAAAACCCATTAAGCACTTAAATATTATCCACAGATGAATAGAAAGTAAAATACAAAAAGACCTTAAAGCAAAAGAACGGAAGCCAGCAAATAGGCTAAGAAGGTTTTATACTAAAAGTGAAATAGAAATGACCAAAACAAATGTAAAACTTGGAAAACCATATGATTCCACAAAAGTTAGTCGTCAAATTAAACAAGCACAACTTATAATGTACCAAAAGAATTTTCCGGTGATGACAAGGTGGGAAAATTGCGGAAAAGTGCATCAAGTACTAAAGAAATCAGGGAATGTACTGATACACAAGGAAAATGACACATTTAACCTTGTGTACAAAATGGCTATTAAGGGACTCACCTCATTATATGTGATAATAATTACAGGTTCTAGTCTCATCCAGAGTTAACTTAAATTCAAGTCTTGTGCAAGCCAAGGACAAAACTTAAAGCATTATTAAGCAACTTGAAACATTAGGACACTCAATGTGGGACTGCCCTAAGTTAGCAACTGCTACAGGGAACATAATATATTAGATTGCCCACAACACTCACGCCAGAGGATCTGTTGATTTCCTTGGAAAGATGGAAAAACAGCCAGTTATGAAGCTCAAATAGTTGTTAAAAGATCTACAGTAGCTACCCCAAGCAGCCATCACTGGTTAGTAGAACCACTTGATTGAAGTAAAGTGAAATAAAGTCAAATAAAATCACAACTGCAGAATAAAGGGACCTGACAAGGTCAGGTTGTAGAGATTGGCTCCTTCTAAGCAATCAGACAAGTTTGCTAGGGTTACATGAACATAAGGGCACATCAAGAAAATAACTAAAAGAAAATACTAGATGGAAATGCTTTTACAGATGGGAAAAGTTGAAGGCTGCTGCTAAGAGAGTCAAACAGTTCACGTAGTGGTTTCAAGTTTATAATTAAGTTAATAGTAAAGATATCTGAAAAAAGGCTTGGGTCAAAGAAATTAATACCTGAAAGAACAGAGGGTCTAAGAGACAATTCCCATTCATACCCTTTTCCCTTCTTTCCAGATTGTGCCTTTGAAACAATACGTGCATTTACAAGTTGCCCAATCCTAAATTTACTTAACATATTGTCCAAAGAATGACCATCTTCGGCAACCTACTCAAGAGAAAATATAATTTCAGCTAAACCAAATAACTAAGAAATGCACAATACATTCTAGAAATAGAAAACTAATACACAACCGATTCCAAAAAAAGCAGACACCTCAGTAATATGAACTCTTCCATGAAGTCCGGTACCAAATTTCACAACAAGTTCAAGAGGCTTTATGTCAATAACCTGGACCAGAATATTCAATGAATAAATTCAGTTTTTACAACTACAAGGTATTCTACATCGATCACATAATCAAAGAAATGAATTTCACCTCTGCATCAACAAGTGACCCCACAACATAGTTTGGTGCTTTCTTGGTTCTTTTAGAACTAGAAGTCTTTAAAACTTCAGTAGTACACTTAAGTAGAAGCAGAAGCCTGCCAAGTGAGTCGGGGCTTGGAACTTCCCCAACAGTGGCAACGACGCTGTAAAACGAAATAAAAACAATGCAATATAAGTCAAAGTGCAAGAACACACATCAATGTAATACGCAATAACAATAAAGTACGAGAGCTGGTGGAAATAAGATGGAGTCAATCTATAACATACAAATTATGCAGCAAAACCGTGCCCTCATAAACTGGAGACACAAAGCAGAATAAAAACCATGGGACAAAAATAACTTAGAAGATATCCAACTTGGTCTTTTTTTTTAGTGTCTGTGGTGATTGCGTTAAAGTGTTCAGAACTTAGTTAAGAATATACGAGTTGTGATGGCCATCAAAAAACAATTAGGACAAAGTAAAGGATTTCTTTTACATCCCAAGAAATGTCTCCCATTTTCAAACAATAGGTTAGTTGCAGATAGACCCTATGTATTATTGTTAAATTGAACTTACTACCCCTGTAGTTCTGCTCCTGCAGATAGAATACCTGAGTGAAATTTTTTTGTCAATTTTCAGGTGGACTATCTGTAACAATAGTTTTTCACTTTTGGGGTCTATCAGCAACATTAGAACTTTTCAAGGGGTCTATCTGCAACAATAGAACTACAAGGGTAGCAAATTCAATTTGGTGATGGTAAAGGAGGCCTATCTACAATTTATCCGAAAACAACTATTATTATACAAGCAGCCATGCAATGAATCAGGGGAATCGTGCCTTGGCCTCATTGCCAACAATTCCATGGTATCCACAAATATGATAGGGTCTGAGAGTCTGAAAAGCATAAGTGGATAGCACGCAATTAAACAACTGAAGTGCTGCCAACGACCATAATATGAGAAGAGAAAATAGTAATTACAATTAAACGATTCAAAAGGTTATTCAGACACCTTACCAATTGAAAATATAGCTAATTAATGTTCTAGAATTTCAAAACAGGGGATAAAAATATTATTGGCAAAGAATGAATTAATTCATGTGAAAATTACAGAACAAACTTATATGAGCATATTGTTTTTAAAAATACATTATGCAGGATTAGGACATTAAAAGCATCTAGACAAAAAAACTATGTTGAATAAAAAGATCATGAGGGAAAAAAACACTACCCATATACTGATCTAGAAAAACTGAAATAACCTCACATAAAGTGCATCTGTAACTACTTTGCAAATATAGGAGAAAATAAACCAAGTTATCTACTTCACCTTTGTCCATAGTGGAAGTGCCTTGGAGAAAGCTTTTGAGTGTTGTAATCAAGCAGAGAAGCATATCCTATAGCATAATTATGCTCTGGAATTGAAAGCACCTGCATTGAAAAGTCCAAATGGATTTGAAATGAGTTTCAAGGGAACCAAGGAATGCACCAGTGCAAACCGAGCTAAATCCATTATTACTCTTAATTATTACCAAGTAATTCTCTTTCACAATTTCCACAATTGTATTTACTGTCTGCTGCAACTCCAAGTCCGTAGACCTATCTCTTCTGCGCTTCTAAAAAATAATGATAAAAAATAGATCAGTTTGAGCAAGCAAACTATAATTTTCACAATTAAGACCACAAAACATCTGTATTCAATGCATCTACAGAGAAAGAAAAACTCAAGTTCCCCCACATGAATAGACATGATTGCATTCATGGCCGCATTATACACGTAAGATTAGGTATGCAGTAAAAGAAGGTGAAGTATAAGACTAATCAAATTATAACCCTTCCCGCAAGGAAAACAACCAAATTAATTAGACATGTCATAAATTATACAGTGGGAACAAAAAGTATAGGGCGCGTCTTTACCCTTTCATGTTCCCTTTTTAAACACTCATGGACAAGATTGAGACAAACCTTTTTAGAGGAAAGATTCTTAGATGCCCCAATATTGGCACGGTCAACTAACTCTGTCTTGAGAGATAAATCAACAAGACCTTCGGATTTGGCTATGTCCAGAACAAAAGCTTTAACAACAGAACCCTTTTCCAACTGACTTCCACCCACTGCGGAACAGAAAGTGACTTAAGTTTCTTCTTGAAAAATAGAAAGAAAACAAACTTCTCAAGAACTTTTGAGGCATGAATACTTACAATGTTGATTTGCAATAAAGCCTACAATATCAGGATGATCCTTGAAGCTGAGCACAGACCCAAATTCTTTCATCTCTTGCACCTCCCCTTCAACCACAGCACCAATATTGAAACTTTCCAACCATCTCAAATCAGAAATTTTGGCATCTGAAAATTGCAGTTTTGCTATCTGCATAGCAAAGGGGAAAACGGTTTTTACGAGAAAGCAAGAAACATATTGATATAGAATAGTGGAGTTTCAGAGAGAATACAAAGAGAAAAGGTTAAATCTAACCCGGACCTTTTCTTCCATTAAAAAGTAGCTCTGGATAAATGAAACATCTGTTGAAAAGCATAAGGACTGCTTCAAGGATAGTTTTATCCGGCCAGTTTCACTATTAACCTACATTGAAAGAAGTGAAGTTACTAAACTGTCAAAGAATTGAACAAGAGTAATCAAGGAAAAGAAACATGCAGTAGCAAGTATATGCTGAGCTCACATTGAGGATATAACTGCGAACTGATTGACCGACAGAGAAAGCGTCCAAAAGATTATCAATTTTTTCATCAGCAACCTTTCAAGCAAGCACTAAAAGTTAAGCTGGAAACAAGGAAGTGAAGGAAAGACATCTGTAGGTAAATTAAAAAAAAAGACTACCTACTTTATATTTGGGAGAGAATCCTGTCAAGCGCCCAAGAAATCGAACAAAGCAACCAGCCTCAATTACATTGCAGATATACCCCTAATAAATCAACATTAAAGATTTCTCGTTATAATCAATTTTTAAGGATTCTCTAATAAAATCAACAATTAAAGGTCTTCATTGTAATAACCGATATAGAAGCAAAATTTCGTTATAATAACCAAAGTGAGAGGGAGGGAGGTAGGGAGGGAGAGTCTTACATGGAGAACAGATAATGGACGTATCTGCGAAACCTCCGATGGAATCTCTTGCAAAGAACAAAGAAGCGAGTATTTGGCTGAAAGGACTAAATTCTGACCTTCAATATCTGCAAAACAAGTCTAATAAAAGTCAGCAGAAGCATAACATTGCTCGTACTACAAAAGTAAAACATGTTCAGATCAGATATTAAACAAGTAACTTAAAGCACAGACATGCATAGCTGAGATTCCTCATAAACCAGAAGTACACACATGACAGGAGTATGACATCGCCAATAAGAATCTAGACATCATTTTTTCAATTAAGTGTTGCACAACAGAAGCAGGAAATCATAGAGCAACATGATCACCAGGGAATCTAAAGTTTGAAAATGGTAATTAGAGAAATTATAAGAAACAATAGCAGCAATCCCTTGCAAGTTTATCTCAAATAATATGAAATCAATTATCTGCACTATAAAAATAGGAATCATATGAAAAGTAAATAATCAACATGATGGAAATAAAAGCATACCCAGCACCAAAAGCTGATCAAACTTGTATCCAGGCCTTAACAAAGATTTGAACATCATGGCTTGCCCTAGGGAACACATTTTCCATTCATTATGGATGTAAAAAGTAATACAAACAAAGATTATTGACAAGTAAAGTACCTCGGTGGTCTGTTAAATGCTCGTCAGGTATCATCCCCTTCATGTACACAGCATTATCCACATGTAAAATAACTCCTGAAGCAGTGAGACGTTCGACAATGCCAGAAACAACACTGCCAATCTTGGTTACATCATCCTGACAAACCCTGTCAAAAAAGGAGCGTTAGATATCATAAAACTTTTGAAATGTACCAGTGCACTGAAGATGGTCAAATCAAATCCATGAATTGGCTTAATAATGTATTATGATAAATTAAGTTTGCATGTTTCATGATAAGCCTATCTATCATATATGGTATCCTGACACTTCACCATGTTATGTTGGTGGGTTTTAATTCTTTTACTTCATACAAGCACTGACAATAAAATGGTGTGATGAGAAAATTATCGGGAGACAGCGCATAACTTCATGCAAACTGTCAACCAACTGAGTGCATTTTAACATACACATGTTAATCTCTGGTCATTAAAAAAGGGTGACAACTTCTTTCCTACACAAACAGCTGATGCATATATCTACAAACTTATAATTAAAGAACAATGAATAGCACTGGTTCTTATTTTAATGGCCCAGCTGGAAATCCAGCATAAAGAATCTCATCTTATGACCTCATTTATTTGTAACACAATCCATACGAATGATATAGATATAGTGAAATTTTAGGCAACTCCTTCATAGTCGACAATTATAGTTGACTCATAGAAATTAGGCAACACCAGATGTCAAACGATACATCCATTTAACTGTAGCAATCCTCAAACTCTTCTGATACTTTCTATAAATTCTGATTGCCAAACAAACTTAATATTTATCATCAGCTAATTTAGCAGTCAATAAGCAACAACCAAATCTCTTACCATCATACGTATAAAGAATCAAATGCTCTTTAAAACTTAAAAAAGTATAAACATTAAAATGATTCTAGACAATAGACTTGGAATGAAGAGCCCACAATATCTTATTTCCAGGAAACCCCATGAATATTACAAGTGGAAATTATCTTTACTCATCAGGAAACTAAAAACATCAAAGTTGACCCATGGCCTCATGAGTGGGTGTGTGTGTGCGTGCGTATGTGAGGGGTAGAGAGAGACCTTTTAGGAGATGTCACAAAACTGAGGTTGATATTATGGGAAGCAACAACTGAACTGATTATCCTACATTTGACAACTTGTCCAACATGATATACAGCATCTGCCTCACTTCCGGGATCCAACGCAAGCTCCGATCTGGTTCAAGAAAAGGGGATAAATATCTTAAAATGAAATGTGAATAATAAATAAATTAACATAAAATCCTGAGGAACTAATTATGCAGTAATTTAAGATCTCCATAAATATATTTTGATAGTCCAAATTGTCCAGAGTTAAATAAATGTTGCACTTTTCCACTAAGGTTCTCTTCTTCCAAAAAAAAGTTGCACTTAGCAGATGAGATCTATGGATTCCAGAATATTAGAAAACGATGTGATCAGTCTAAAGGCGGTATACAGTAAGTGGCTAAACTAAATTTAATCCTTTAGAATATAGAGAGGAGTTAAAAGCTAACGAAATAAGCATGTATAGGCTATTAGGCTAGGATGGGGCTAATCAAAGGCACATCAATATGATTTACTTATAGCAGACATTAACAATAATACAAACCAGAAAAAATGGGGATGTGCACAAGAGATTCTCATTAATGGATCAAATCAACTTGGAGCACACAAGTTAAATAGTTAAGTGGTAGTAGGTAAAACCCTTATGAACTCACAGGATTGAAAACAGTATTAACGAAACTTTGCAAAAAATAGTACATTCCTCCTCAGATAAACCTCACATGTAGGTAAGCAAGAAATGCTGAATTTTTTAAGCATGAAAGTAAGCATTCCAGTACATATCTTCACCTTTGTAATGTCTATACAAAAGAATTATGTGGGCCAAATGGTAGAAAAGTGATAAACATAGTTTTGAAAAACTCAAGTCTAGTAAATATTAGCTCAATAGGGCTGCCTGCTTGTGGGAATGGATAATGGGATAGTCATCCACAAGGGTTCATTTCAAATATCTCAACCCTGCAAGAGAACCAGGATGGGGTCATCTTCAACTTAATTGCCATGGAGACACCAGAAATGCTTCAGATGCCAATAAGTGAATATAGACAATAATGACACATGAAAAGATCAGGGGAACCCAAGGTTTTAAATATCGGATGTCGGGTTCATGTCGGACGGCTGAAATCCATGTCGGATAGCGGAAATCGGGGATATATCGGGGGATATGGACTAAATATCGGATTGCCATATCGGGTGGGCGCATATGTACAATATCATGTCCTAAATGTAATCTAAGCATTCTTAAATTCAATATAAGCATACTTTATAAACTTTATAGACTAGACATATAAAAAAGTAAACAATATATGAGAAATGTAAAGAGCTAAAATGTAAACAATATTAGAGCTAAAAAAGTAAACAATATACGAGAAATCAGGGATTATTAAATGATAAACAAGGATTATTACAAGGATTACTAAAAATTAAGACATTGAATCTTTCATATAAATTAAACAAGATTAGAGCTAAAATGTAAAGAGCTAAAATGTAAAGATATAAAAAAATATTTATGCAAGCATTCCCATCATATTAATTAAACAAGGATTATTACCGGAGTTGAATCTTTCATATTCCGAGGATTACTAAAAAAATCAAGTTAGAGCTAATTTTACTTTTAATCCAAAAGAATTATTTAATTACTTTTTGTCCACAATTTGCTCCAAGATACAAAAAGAAACTTATGATGATAATTTAGGAAAAGAAAGAAGAGTAAAAAGAAAAAAGGGAAAGTTAAAAACCACGATATATCGCTGAACCGATTTTCATAAATTTTGGCCGATTTTTCAAATAGGAAATAGCGGCCGATATATCCGATTTTTCGCCGACATGACCGATATATCGCCCAAAAACGATATGCGACTTGTATTTCCCCGATTTGTGTCGCTCGACACCTCGATCCGCTATATCGGCCGACATGTCCGACATGTCGGCCGATATTTAAAACACTGGGGGAACCCTTCATCAAGGTGCACAGACCATGGATTGACATGGGCTAAAGGGGATTGAATCCCCTGCATGTCATTGAAACCTCATCCAAGGGAAAGATGGATCCTCATTGAGAGAAAAGGAAGCAGCATTATTACTACAACAGTTGGTGGATTAAAGATGCTTGTTGCCCCTAACATGGACTTTAAAACTAGAATATGAGTTTGACCAAAACCCAAAATGTGTAACATGCTTCTTCCCCTTAATATGGAAGCGCATCCTCTGGACTGGCAGCATATTTACTTTTGTACTGAATTAGCAAACATGCATACAGCAATGCGAATTATATTTAAGCTTGTAATATTTGCAAAGACACCTCCATTTCAAGATCAGAAAATAACTAGTTGATAATATCTAGTCTAGATTAATAAGCAATGCTTGATTACTTAGAAGTACTTTTCTTAACAGGGGAAAAGTTCTGGATAAATGAGCTTCAAAGTTATATAACAGTAAGTGTTTTTAAAATAATAAAGACAGAAAATCATCAGAAAGCCAGTGCATTATGCCAAAGTAAACACGAGCCAAACCTGTGGGCAAAACCCTGTACTCCATTGTAAAATTTCACAAAGCACCCATGCTTTTCAATCTTCGTAATCCATCCATGAGTAATTAATCCTTCAGTAGCATCAGCATAGGAAGCCAAAATGTTCAGCTTCGATTTCACCTAAGAAGAAGCAGGATTGTATATGGACTTAGAATAGACTAAAAACCCTTTGTTCAGCTTAGATTTCACGTAAGAACAAGATGCAGAAGCATATTATGACTTGTAATACAGTAGAAATCTTTGATGACCATATTAAAAATTATCAACAAAATTGAACAAAAATCATAGAGAACTAAACGATTAAATGGCAGAAGTATACTAGAGTTTTCTTATGTGTGACAGTAATTCGCTTTGATTTGCAACCAAGCACGCGGAACGGTAACTCAGCTCCAACCTGAACATCAAATAAGGAAAAGAAGAACTTTAGGGCATGTTTCTAGAATTATTCAATGCAATTGAGAATATTAACCTTTTCAGAACAATATAACTATCGTAAATCTGAAAAGAATGAAGAAAACCTTAAATTTCTTAGGAGGTTTCATGATGTCAAGTTCTGACATATGCGGAAGAGGACAAAGTGCCTTTATACCACTTGCAAATTGTACAATTGCACCAAAATTCTCCACAGCAATGACCTTAGCTTTCAGTAACATTCCAGGCTTAACATCTGAATGAGTAAAAACAGAACCTTCAAAAGCACTACCCTGCAAGCAGTTCAGGCTTGTTAAATGTAAAGATATAACAAAAAGCTAATGCTAACACTTGCCTGGATATGACAATTATGAAAGTAACAAATACCTTTAAGGTGCCCATTGCCAGTCCTTCAAGATGCTTAATTCCAGTAACACGAACACGAACTTCACTGCCTTCCCTAAACTTCTTCTCAAGCTTCAGACCTTCCTCGTCAGCAACATCAAATATCTGCCATATAGTTTGATTGCATGATAAAATCATAGAATTCAACATCCAAAAAAATCCACTAAACTCTCTAAAACGAAGGCATTAAAGACTCATACATTGACATATGCCGGTGTAGGCTTTGGAGAAGAAGGGATTTCAAGAAGGAGACCAATTCCACGATCAACTCTTAAAATTCGTGAATTATCATAAATATCTCCTGTTTTGACATGCTAGAAAGAAAAAACACAGATTAGTACGAAGAGAAAGTGCTTAGATATTATTCCCTTAAACACAAACATCTTGCTGCATGCAATAAGCCAATAGAACTATCAAAATATTTGCGTGAAACGATCAATTAGCAAAATAAAAATTAGTAAATACTTTCTCTTAAGAAGAGTAAATCTGTAATTACTTACAGATGGAGGAACCTTATTCTGAATATGGTAAGAGTTCAATGTCAGTCCAATAGCCCTAGATGACGGATCTATAAACAAAATTCGAGCATTCACCTAAACCAAAAACGAGGACAGAAGATTGTCACAATATACAAAATGAATAAAACAGTTAATGAAAAATGTATAAGCATATCTCAAACAAATAAATCATTGCAAACTGAAAGAATGGAAGTTTAGAAGCCATATAATTATGCAATACATAAAAGGACAAAACATGAGATTGCAATTGCAGTACCCGACCCCTAGATGATGGATCACTGGAGCAGGTTGATTGGAATCTCTACTTAATGGTAGCGGACTCTCAATCACAATCCCTTTTGCTTCTTTGTTTCTAAGCAGCTATAACAAAGGGCAACAGGTGAAAATAAAAGCAGTGGAGGTAATGCAATATTTTTTCTTCTTTTCTTTCTTTCTCTCTTCAGTTATACATTTCCTCACTTTATATCCCCTAAATTTTTTGCTCCTCGGCATTTTTTTAAATTTTAACTTTTTTTCCTTCACATAATAGGCGTCTATAAATTTGCAGTGTCCTCTATGCAAATCCGCACAGCACATTATATAGCATGATATGAGATGACCTATTATTATGGCTATTATTTAAATGGAATTATGTATATAAGTTATCAACTTTTGCACCTGAAGAAATGAAAACATACGCATTACTCACTAGGACACACAGCTGACTGGTAGTTCTGAAGAAATAGACCTAATAAAGTGCAAAGCACTATGCATTCTTTGCCAAATGGACCAAACCAAGGGTTATGAAGTTTGAGTTCAAAAATGAAATGTTCCCAAAATGCCGCCCCAGCAGCTTGTCGCATCATGTCCCAAATCGTTTGGAACAATATTGAATACATAAAATGCATGTAGACATTTTAAAACTCTAAAGCATGTTAAAACCTAGATCCTACTTTTCCATAGTAGTTTTTGAAGACAGATCACTAAGTGCCCAGGATGTTGTCCAGTGCGAAGATTGACACCAACCAATTACGTACTGTATAGACGTGTCAGACAAAAAAGACAGTCATAAACTAGTAAGACAACAAGATCATATTTTTGGCGGCAACCAACAAGACCAAGGTTAGCACAATTGATGATATCAGTCTAAGTATTATTAACACAACCGACTATCAATGACAGATTCGTTAAAATTGAAACCATTTAGGTTGAAAGCCATAGTACTAATGCCTACTAGAGCAGCGCAGCAGATACCTACCACAGGCCAAGCAGCCAAAAAAATGTCTCAAATGAGAATTGTTGAAACTAACATATTGGAAGATCAATCAGCTAAAATAACCATGAGCAGCTACGATGTGAGAAGTTTCTTCCTCTTGACCGAATCACTAAAAATTGCAACAGGATCAATTGCTGCATAATTTTCTTTTGTGCAATCCTGTTGTATGACAAATTGGAGGATAAATGTCATTGCCAACCATGATAAGGGAAAAGTTAATTCTTCAAGACATCAGCTTCCATTTGTAGTTAAGCTGTCAATGATGAACTCAAAAAAACATCACTGAACAAAAGCACTTTATTTGGAGCTTCAACAACGAATGATGGACATGAAGAAGTTTAGAACAGTTTGCCTTAGAATATGAAATTACAAAAAGGTCATGTTCCCCACACTTCATATCAAATAATAAGTGAAGATCTAACATGGTTTCAGCTAGATATGGAAATGACTGTTTAAGCTCTGCACTTAGTTACTTCCCAGCAATTCATTTCCATTCAACATGACTGCAACCTACTGCACAAGCTGCAAATCGTACTCCTTATCTATTTCAGTATGGTTCTTAAAAACTAAATAATAGTCTTAAAAATCTTAAAAATGAAAAAGATGCCTACAGCCACACACACCTCCTCTCGTAAATCTTAGTTCAGATCAATATTATCCGTCGATCAACTTCTTGAATGAAGCAATGGAAAATCATAAATTAATTTCCTATGTGAAATATAGATCAATTTACAACACATCAACTTAAGCATCTAAATATTTGATCGCAAACAGCTGACTAATTTTCAACTTTGGTTCCTAGATCCATATCTATTCAATTAACCAGAATACACCACAAGAGACTTGATCTACTATGTAGAGTAGGTTGGGGAGAAAAATCACTCACTGATACAGAGGACATACCCCGCTAAGTATCTCTAATATGTGACTGCATACTATAAGGCAGCTGTTTTTCGATGCCTCCCTTATGCACTTTTATTTATGAATGTGCTTTAAAATTAAACATATAAGTCTCACATGTCGAGAATAGATAAATAACTAAAAGACTACTAAATTAATGGAAATTTTGTAGTGAATAATTAAACACAATAATATCAAAGCCAAGCATTGAGCAATCTAGTTATGATTCCCCATTTAGCACGCTAGTGATATAAGTATTCAACTGATATAAACCATAGTAAGACAATTTAAGAGTGCACTACAACACTATAAATGCATAAACCAAAGGCATAATTCAGAATACACAGCAAGTAAGATTTAGCATATAAACCAATTTAACATACCATAAACATTTTTTTAAGAAACTTAATAAAGAAAACAATTGACTTAAAATTTCAGAAGAAAACAGGAAAAGTAAATCTAATAAATGGCCAGATTTAATCTTGAAGACCTTCTTGTTCTGATCATATTCACTTT